AGAGAGAGAGAGAGAGAGAGAGAGAGAGAGAGAGAGAGAGAGAGAGAGAGAGAGAGAGAGAGAGAGAGAGAGAGAGAGAGAGAGAGAGAGAGAGAGAGAGAGAGAGAGAGAGAGAGAGAGAGAGAGAGAGAGAGAGAGAGAGAGAGAGAGAGAGAGAGAGAGAGAGAGAGAGAGAGAGAGAGAGAGAGAGAGAGAGAGAGAGAGAGAGAGAGAGAGAGAGAGAGAGAGAGAGAGAGAGAGAGAGAGAGAGAGAGAGAGAGAGAGAGAGAGAGAGAGAGAGAGAGAGAGAGAGAGAGAGAGAGAGAGAGAGAGAGAGAGAGAGAGAGAGAGAGAGAGAGAGAGAGAGAGAGAGAGAGAGAGAGAGAGAGAGAGAGAGAGAGAGAGAGAGAGAGAGAGAGAGAGAGAGAGAGAGAGAGAGAGAGAGAGAGAGAGAGAGAGAGAGAGAGAGAGAGAGAGAGAGAGAGAGAGAGAGAGAGAGAGAGAGAGAGAGAGAGAGAGAGAGAGAGAGAGAGAGAGAGAGAGAGAGAGAGAGAGAGAGAGAGAGAGAGAGAGAGAGAGAGAGAGAGAGAGAGAGAGAGAGAGAGAGAGAGAGAGAGAGAGAGAGAGAGAGAGAGAGAGAGAGAGAGAGAGAGAGAGAGAGAGAGAGAGAGAGAGAGAGAGAGAGAGAGAGAGAGAGAGAGAGAGAGAGAGAGAGAGAGAGAGAGAGAGAGAGAGAGAGAGAGAGAGAGAGAGAGAGAGAGAGAGAGAGAGAGAGAGAGAGAGAGAGAGAGAGAGAGAGAGAGAGAGAGAGAGAGAGAGAGAGAGAGAGAGAGAGAGAGAGAGAGAGAGAGAGAGAGAGAGAGAGAGAGAGAGAGAGAGAGAGAGAGAGAGAGAGAGAGAGAGAGAGAGAGAGAGAGAGAGAGAGAGAGAGAGAGAGAGAGAGAGAGAGAGAGAGAGAGAGAGAGAGAGAGAGAGAGAGAGAGAGAGAGAGAGAGAGAGAGAGAGAGAGAGAGAGAGAGAGAGAGAGAGAGAGAGAGAGAGAGAGAGAGAGAGAGAGAGAGAGAGAGAGAGAGAGAGAGAGAGAGAGAGAGAGAGAGAGAGAGAGAGAGAGAGAGAGAGAGAGAGAGAGAGAGAGAGAGAGAGAGAGAGAGAGAGAGAGAGAGAGAGAGAGAGAGAGAGAGAGAGAGAGAGAGAGAGAGAGAGAGAGAGAGAGAGAGAGAGAGAGAGAGAGAGAGAGAGAGAGAGAGAGAGAGAGAGAGAGAGAGAGAGAGAGAGAGAGAGAGAGAGAGAGAGAGAGAGAGAGTGTGTGAGTGCGTGTGTGTGTGTGTGTGAGTGTGTACCTCTCCCATTCTGACGCGGTGGTGAAGTCCGTGATCTCAAACACCTCAGACTCGGGCTGAAACACAAACAGCGACTGCAGTCACTAACAACACACGCTCATTAAAGCACACACATGTCGTGTAGCTGTGTGTATTCACACGACACGTGACACTGACAGAGAACGCAGATAAAAACGCATTTAGATGGAAACTAACTCACATCACTGTCCGCCGCCATCTTGGCTCTCTGTTTATTCCTGTCCGGGTGCATTGTGGGAAATGGCGTACCGCCGAGATGTGCTGCGTCTGTGAAGATCTGAAAAAAATAAAAAATAATAAAATAAATCAAGATCTGAAATCAACAAAGTTGTGTAATAAAAAAATAATAAAGCAAATAAATGATATATATGTTTCTGCAGGAAAAGTGAGAACACTATGCTAGTGTTCTGGATCCAGCCAATGTATTATCTTCATGATAATAATAACGTTTTGGCTTATATGTTATGCTTCTATAACTCTCATTTTTTATTATATGCATCGCTGTCTTTTGTTTATGTAATACAAATATTTTAAAACCTTTAGGTTTGGGATTTATACATTGCATTAAAAATAAAGAGTTCCTGACCAAAGCTGCATTTAATTATTCCCATCTTTTACTTCATATAATGACGTTTATTCGCTCTGTACGGATATGAGAAAACATTTATAACACCCGTCATGCTGCGCCTGCGCCTCACGATCAAACTACATTTCCCAGAGTTCCTCGCGCCGAGCTGCTTCCGTGTTCCGCGCGCAGCTTCCGGCAGCTGTGAGTTGTGGACTCCTCGCAAGCGCAGCAGCAGAGCTTCATCCTCCTCCTCCTCCTCTTCATCATGCGCTGGTTCGAGGGCTCGATCCCGGCGGCCATCGCGGCAGCTAAAGAGCGCAGATGCGTGTTTGTGGTGGTGATCACAGGTACATCATCATCATCTTCATCTTCATCATCACACTGCAGTGTGTGTCGGTGACAGCTGATGATGAGGAGGATAGTCTTCATCAGCTTAATGAGTCAGACTGCAGCGGCGGCGCTTAATTATGATCTTTACCTCAGCAACGCGTTTGAGCGTTTGTCCGGTTAGAACCGGATCACTTAATCATTTCATCACACTGACTGAGAGATCGTGTGTGTGTGTGTGTGTGTGTGTGTGTGTGTGTGTGTGTGT